TACCTTTTTAGACATCCACAGAGTACAAACGAGGTGATCTCCAAAGGATTACTGCAAATATGAAATCTTTGAATAGATGCTGTGTGTTTTAGTTAATTAGGCAGTGGAGATCTAAATCTCCCATTATTTGAGCATGAAACCTATCTCTATCGCTCTCCTGTTCTTTCCAATTCTTTTGTTTGTTTGTTCATCTTTTTTTTTTTTTTAAATATCTACCTTCCTCTTCCTCCATGTTTTGTTCCCCCACGATGAAGTAGAATGCCCAGAAGATGGTAAGTTCAGGTTGGTGTGTGCCTCCTGTTCTTGCCTGCTCCGGAGAGTTGTGTCATGTTTTGATCTCAACCGAAAAATTAAGCTCTTCCTTTGTTTTAGATGCGTTTTTTTTTTTTTTTTTTTTTTTTGCCCAGTGTGTTTTCTTTTGTTTCCTTTCATCTTTTTTTACTCACACAATGATTCCATTTTCTCCATCCCAACTAGTTTGCTGATTTTTGGCGTTGGGTTTGAGTGTTGTTGGCCAAGTGAGTGGCAAAGAGTTAGATAGATGTTACAGCCGTTACATTAATGCACTCCTATCTCCAGGCTGAAAGTGTTGCAGAAAATGGCTGTGATGAATCATCGGCCAGCTGTTATCGATGGAGTGCTAAAAGAGATTTTGGACCGATTCCATTTTCAGAGTCTCTGATCTGCTGGTGCATCCTGACAGTTACACCCCCCTCAATCCTGCTGCTATTTAAGGACCGAAATTATCACAACAGTTTTCAGCTAAAAAGAACTTAAATGTCAGCTGCAGCCTGAACGCTTTGTACTAAATGATAAATGCATCACAAATCTTTTTTACCTTGTTATGTTATGATGCACCCAAACATATTTTATTTAAGGAATTCCAGTTCAGAGCGTTTGCCTCAGTTTGTGTGAGTGTTCCACCTTTACAAGTGCAGAGGAAATGTCCAAACTTGAGGATGCATGGCAGACAGCTGAAAGTTGGAGACGGAAGCCCATCTGTTTTTCTTTTTACTTTTTTTATTTTTTTATTGAGACCACATGGAGGCAGTGCCTGTGACTGGTACTGTGTTAATGCCAAAGCACACAGGATGAACCCATAAAATGGCTGCCTTCAGTGGGCTTTTGATGTCTCCAAATGGAACGTGAGATGCTTGACTGTGTGGCTAACATCAAGCTCTAACCCAGCGGTTGTTTACATTGCCAGGCTGCCTTGCATGCAGCTAGTTGAATGGTACTAAAACAAGTGGTTTACTGTAGCTAGGGGGAAACAGAAGTGTTTCCAGGTGTATTTGCATGGAAAATAATGGCTTGTTGTGCATGCTGTGT